TGAGCTACCACTAAACGTCCACCAGAATAGCTCAAAACAAAATGCCTGACAACGCCAAGTGTTGATGAGGATGCAGAATAATGGAAATTCTCCAACATAGAGGGAGAAGAAGACATTACAACCACTTTGGAAAACTCTTTGGTCGTAGCTACCAAAAATAAACATATATGTCCTATGATCCAGCCATTCTATTCCTGGGTTCTTATCCAAGGGAAATGTGTAATAAGTTGACCCTTGAACAATTCAGGGTTTAGGGCACTGACCGACCCCCCCCCACCCCATGCAGTCAAAACTCTGAGTATAACTTTTGACTCTCCCAAAAGGTAACTATGAATAGTCTACTCTTGACTAAAAGTCCTAGAAATAACAAATAGTCAATTCACACATATTTTGTATGTAAGATGAACTAGATTCTGTATTCCTATGATAAAGCAAGCGAGAGAAACAAAATGTGATTAAGCAAATCACCAGGAAGAGAAAATAGAGTTACAATGCTGTACTGTAAAAAGTCTACATATAAGTGGACCCGTGCAGTTCAAACCTGTGTTGTTCAAGGGTCAACTGTATATGTCCCTTGAACATATATATGTTGTGAACATACTAGAACAAAATGTGCACTATATGTAGCACATATGTATATAGCAATACTATTTGCCAGAGCAAAACATGGAAACAACTTAATTTCCATCCATAGTCGGTATATAAACATATAAAGGTATTGTGGTGTCTTCACACAATGGAATACGACTCTACAGTGAGAAGGCATGGATTGCGCTCATACACCCAACCTGGGTGAGTTTCACAATCATAATGTTGAGTGAAAGAAGCCAACACAAGAGTTCTTTTTTTTTTCCAACACAAGAGTTCTTACTGTATAATATTATTCACATCATGGGGAAAATAGGCACAATGAAACTGTCTACAAGAAGGCATACTTAGGCAGTATAAATTAGGTAAAAGTCACTATGGTGGGTACCTTCACGTGGAGAGAGAAAGTAGTCCCTGGGCAGGGGTGGGAAGGAGCTCATGGAAAGCTGGTAGGATTTGTTTCTTCATCTGGATGGTGGTTACACAGGTATGTTCCCTTTGTCATAATTCATTAAGTGGACTATTTATGTTTCAGATATTTTCTGTACGTATGTCATATTTCACAATAAAGAAGGTTCAAATAATTTAAAAATGATTTGGAAAAGTGACTTCATCACACCCTTATCTTACAACCGAGCGGCTCAGGTGTCTAAGGCATAATAATAATTGGATGGGATGCTCACGGCACTTGTTTTGCACTAGACACTGTTTTAAGTTGCTGATATCTGTTACCTTATTTAATCTTTTTTAAAAATATTTTATTCATTTATTCCTGATAGACACACACACATATGCACACACAGAGAGCCAGAGACACAGGCAGAGGGAGAAGCAGGCTCCATGCCGGGAGCCCGATGCGGGACTCGATCCCGGGACTCCAGGATCACACCCTGGGCCAAAGGCAGGCGCTAAACCGCTGAGTCACCCAGGGATCCTCCTATTTAATCTTTTTTTTTTATAAGATTTTTATTTATTTATTAGAGAAAGTGTGTGTGAGAGAGAGCATGAGGAGGCAGGAGGGGTAGAGGGAGAGGGAGAAGCAGACTCCCCACTGAGCACAGAGCCTGACTCAGGACTTGATCCCAGGACCCTGGGATCATGACCTGAGCTGAAGGCAGACACTTAACCGACTGAGCCACCCAGGCCCTCTACTTTATTCCATCTTCACAACGACACTATGAGATTGTTACTGTTATTACTGACATTTAACAGAAGGGGAAACTGAGGAACTGTGGTGTTCAGTAACTGCTTAAGTTAGTCAATGCTCGAGCTAGATCTAATCTCAGGCCATCGGGCCCCAGAGCAGATGCTCTGTTCACTACCATAAGGTTCTCCACCCTGAGGAGAAGAAATAAGAGGAGTGGAAGGATATTTCTCAAAACACAAAGCTGTCTGGAAAGAGGAACTGGAAATAGTTCACCGGAGGTCCTGAGAGTAGGAGAGGGCTGAGGTCTGAGCAGGAGTCGGGGAGGGGCCGCACGAGGGCTGTGAGTCCTCGTCCACCACATCAAGGACCAACAGGTGCAAATGCAGTGAGACTTTTCATGGGAGCTGAGGGGTGGGATTCAGGGGCACATGCATCTGGATGAGAAAGCCAACGACGTCCTTGCTTTTCTTGCCCTTTTCTTTGCCCTCGGCAGTCCTCAGAATGTGGTCGGTCTGAGAATCCCCAAGACCTTTTTTAGGGTGTTAATGAGGTCAAACTATTTGCGTTATCATACTAAGACGTGTTTGTCTTTTTCACTCTCCAAAGGTGGCCTGACCCGTGGTGACGTCATTGATAGGCTGGCTAATGGAATGTACGCACGTAGATTCGTGTGTTTTAAAAACTTCTCACTTTAATTTTCTTTCCTTTTAAGATTTTGTTTATTCATTCATGAAAAACAGAGACAGAGACATAGGCAGAGAGAGACGCAGGCTCCCTGCGGAGAGTCCAATGTGGGATTTGATCCTGGGACCCCAGGATCCCGCCCTGAGCCAAAGGCAGATGCAACCACTGAGCCACCCAGGCGTCCCTCATTTTAATTTTCTCACATGATAAATATCAATAGATAGAACCCATTACATAAAACCTCTTTGGGATCGTCCAATATTTTTAAGAGGGTACCATTTAAGAACGGGCTGCTGGGACGGAAATGTACCATGTCCTTCTGTCCTATTTGCAGACTTGCAGCTCTGCCACAGGAAGAAATCAGGGGCCCCCGGGGGGCTCAGTCAGTTAGGCATCTGACTCTTGATTTCAGCTCAGGTCATGATCTCAGGTTCATGAGATCGAGTGTTGCTTCAGATTCCACCCGTGGAGCCTGCTTAAGATTTTCTTTCCCCCTCTCTGCCCCTCCTCTGCCCTCCCCTCCCCATACCTCCCACAGGAGCGCAGCCTCCCTCTCTCTCACAAAAAGAAAGAAATCCAAGATGTTTTCACATCCCACTGCAGTCACTTCAGCCCTCTCAAGCATCTTCTTTACACCCACTGAAGCTTCTGAGTTACCATCTTTTTTTTTCAACCTGAGCTAGATTTCAAAGTTTCATGCATTGAGAAAGAAGCACATATCTTACCGCATCACATACTAGTTTTAAAAATATTTTTTGGGGGGCGCCTGTCAGAGGAGCGTGTGATCCTTGATCTCAGAGTCATGAGTTCGAGCCCCATGTTGGGTGTAGAAAGTACGTTTGAAAAAAAAAAGATTTTATTTATTTATTCACGAGAGACAGAGAGAGGCACGGAGACATAAGTAGAGGGAGAAGCAGGCGGGGAGCCCGAGCGGGACTCAATCCCAGGACCCCGAGATCACGCCCTGAGCCAAAGGCAGACCCTCAACCACTGAGCCACCCAGGCGCCCCGGGTGTAGAGAGTACTTAAAAAAATAAACTTAAAAAATTTCTATATCCATAATTCAGTGGCATTGGTTTCTTTCATGCCGCTGTGAGTTTATTTCATGCCTGTAAAAACATGATTCTGAGAAGGGCTTCAGCAGCGCTCCCTAAGTGTCTCTGGCACAGAAAAAGGTTAAGAGCCTCAGCTCTGGAAGAAAAACAAAACTGAGGGCGAGCTACAATGGGTAGGAGTGGGAGTGGGTTCTTGAGGGTATTTGAGTACGGCTGAAGGAGCTGCTTATTATTACATTTTAAGCTGTCACAGAGACTCTAGAGGGTGGGGAAAAATCCAAACAGCAGGCCCATCCTGAACCCTTCCCAGGCTCAGAGTCAGGCTCGGAAATCTGCGTACTCAACCAGCCGAACTGCTATACTTTGAATTACTAAAAGCCAAGTGGTCAGGTCATTTTATCTGCCGACAGGAAGGGAGAATAATGAAAAGCCTGCACACATCCCCCCCCCAACTTTTCCTGCTGCTGGGGGAGCCCCTGAACATATTTTGTGGCAAGCCACTCTCAGCCTTCAAACAGCTCACCAAGGTGTACAGGAAAATTCTCACTGGCTCCCACCTAGACCCCAGGGCAATTTCTGGAGTTCATGCATTAATAATAATTAAAAAAAGAGGGATCCCTGGGTGGCGCAGCGGTTTGGCGCCTGCCTTTGGCCCAGGGCGCGATCTGGAGACTCCGGATCGAATCCCACGTCGGGCTCCCGGTGCATGGAGCCTGCTTCTCCCTCTGCCTATGTCTCTGCCTCTCTCTCTCTCTCTGTGTGTGTGTGACTATCATAAAATAAATAAAAATTAAAAAAAAAAAAAAGAAAAGAAAAAAAAAAAAGCTGATTCTCATCCAGCCCTTACTCTGGGCCAGGCCGCATTCTCAGCATGAAATTTCATGCCTCATCTGGTTTAATCCTCGCAACAGCCCATAGGGTATGTACTCTTACTACCTTCGTTTTACAGGTGAGGAAGGCCAGGCTCAGCGAGGTTAAGTACCTCGCCTAGGGCGCCCAGCTCAGAAGCAGCAGAAACCAGCCTTTTCGTGGATTTTGATGTCGCCTGTTTAGTGTGCCCCCGAGGGGACTGGGGGTTCTCTGGGGAGAAGCCGAGGGCCAAGCTTGGGGAAGGAGGCAGGAGGAAGGAATTTCGAGGACGGTGAGCGGGCGGGAAGGGATAGGGGAATCCCCTGGGTAGCAGGCCCCACTGCCGACACACCTGGGGACCTCGGGATCTGGCAGGGCAGGGGGTGGGGACCAGTGTCCGTGCCCTGGGGACTCCCGCAGTCGCGGGGTGGGGCGGCTGGGGGACGAGCGCAGCCTTACCTGTCCCGGCGCTCCTCCGGTGGTCAGCCTGGAGGTGGCGGCTGCGGCATACCAAGCCTTTCTGGGTCCCCCTTCCCACGCCCCACCCCGGGGGGGTGGGCGGGTGGGCGTGGGGCGCCCAGGACCGGCCGGACCTGTGCGACCCGGGGCCCCGGTTGTCTGGGAGCCTGTCACTTGGGGAAGGCCGGCTCTTCCGGGGCTGGGACAGCTGTGGGCGGCTGGATGCCTCGGTGCCTGCGAACTCATAAATACCGCCGCCGCCCTGGTGGCGGGAGACGCGCGTGCGGGCGGCCGGCGGGCGCCCCGAGGGTGAGCCGGGCCCGGGAGGGAGTCCCCCTGCCGCTGACGGGCCTGACCCGGGCTGGGCCCCCAGCAGGTCCTGCGGGAGCTGGGGAGCAAACTGGAGCCGGCCAGAAGGGCTGGGGAGAAGGGGACTGGGTAGCAGGTGCAGGGCTGGGGGGCTGGGGGGTTGGGGGGGGAGGTTGGGGTCACCAAGGCAGGATGGGATGCCAGGCAGGCGGCAGAGGGCAAGCTCCCGCTCCAGGTAGGATGGAATTCCGGAGGCACCTGGGGATGGAGTGGAGGATTGAGGTCACTAAGACCAAACACCAAGCCTGGAGGCCAAAATGCAGGGTGTTGAGGTCTGAGAGCCCAGGGCGCCGCTAGGGATGGAGCGACAGGTCCGAGGAGCTGGGGTTGCTGAGAGGAGGCTGGAATGCTGGGGAGGGGGTTGCCAAGGGCAACTTTCTACGCTGAGCCCCCACCCCTCCCCCAAACCTCTCACTGATCAGGGGTGAGCTGCGGTTAGGACCCCTGGGTTCCAGTCCGGCTCCATCACACCCTAGCCGTGCACTGAATCACTGTTGCTCATTTGCCTCCTGGGTGATCCGTGATCCGGTGATCCGGCGGTGGTGATCACGGTGGCCGCCACGCGGAGGAATGCTGGGAGGCTCCCAGGAGTTAATGTATGCAAAGTGCTTAGCACACAGCGAGTCTCAGAACACTTGGGGCTTGGTGGTGATCGGATTTTTTTTCTCTCTAGCATCCGGATAACCATCCCCTTGAAGACCTCACCATCCTGCCTGCCTCCCCCGACATTGCCTGATCTCCCACCCTGCGTCTTCCCAGCCCCTTGGTGCTGTTCCTGACGGAATCTGATCTACTGCGGACCCCTCCCCTTCTCCGTCTGCCCTCCCCCACTGTCCCCTCACCATGCGCCCCCTCTGTCCCTGCCGGTCCTGCTGCTGTCTGCTCCTGTTTCTCTCCCTGGGAGTCCAGGGGGCCCCAGAGGCGGCCCCTGAGCAAGTCCACCTGTCCTACCCAGGTAAGTTCTGTGGCCACTTCTGGGAGTTTCCCAGGGAGGCCCAGGGGGTTTGGGGGCTCAAGTATCCCCTTGTGGATTGCTGTGGGAGCCTGGGCTGGGCTGGTCTTCCTGGACTTCGGTTGTGTGCCTCTGTTGAGCGGGGGTCCCCAGCAGCGGTGCAGCTGGCTGTGTGGGAAATGATTCCGGCGTCCAGCCTCTCATAAGCGTCCTCCAATGGGACAACTGGTGTGGTCGTTGTGTCACTGCTCCTTGTGTCCCCCCAAAGCTGCCTCCTGGTCCTTGATCTAGTGAATCACAGGGCCCTGTGGTGGTCAGGCCTTGGACTCTGGACCCTCTGGACCCAAACCCCCTCTGGGGGTTTCAATCCCCGCTTTGCAACTCACCTGCTGTGTGACCGTAGGCGAGTGACTTAACCTCTCTGGCCTCAGCTTCCTCATCGGGACAGTGGGAAAATATTAGTGTGACCTCATAGTGGGGAGTAAATGAGATATAACCCGTGAAGTGGCAAAATGGGGTGTAGCCATGGTTCTCACACGTTTTTGTCACAGGGCCCCTTCGCGTGGCTAAAAACGATTGCGAACCTTCAAGAGCGTTAGTTTATGTGAGTTATACCTATAATATTTGCCGTGTTAGAACCCGAAACTGAGGCACTTAAACATTTTTAAGTCGTTTAAAATGAACAGTAATAAAGCCATTCTGTGTTAAGGTAAATGGCATTTTTTCATGAAAAATAACGACTGTACCAAAGGGAACAAATTTAATGAGAAGCGTGGCATTGGTTTACATCTTTTTAAGTCTCTTTAATGTCTGGCTTAATAGGAGACACCCGGGTCCCCCCCACATCTGCTTCTGCTGCTGTTGCTTTGGATGATGCATATGAAGGAAATGTGGTCTCACAAGACTTGGGGTTGAAACACAGAGGAGAATTTTAAAAGGAATTGCAAATAATTGTGCCTATTCCTTTTCGATACCGCACCGAAGCTGAAGGCACAGCCCTTTCTTTCTGTCTGGCTTTTGAATAATTTCAGCTTGCTATTTTCAAATAATGTTAGATTTATGGAAGAGGTGCAAAGTTAGTGCAGGGTTTCCGTATGCTCCTCACTCAGCTTCCCCTAATGCCAACGTCTTATGTGCCCATGGTCAAAGCTAACAAAGGAACCTTGGCGTTATATCACTAACTGAACTCTGGCCTTTGTTCGGGTTTCACCAATTTTTCCACTAATGTCTTTATCTAATCCAGGATCTGATCCACCACCCCACACTGCATCTTGCTGCTGTGTCTCTAGTCTCTTTCGCTCCTCAGTCTTTCCTGGTTTTTTGGGTTTTGGGTTTTGGGGTTTTTTTTGTGCGTGTGTGTGTGTCCTTGACACTCGTGAGGAAGATCGTTTCTTTTAAAGATTTAATTTATTTGAGAGAGAGAGAAAGAAAAACTAGGGAGGGACATCGGGAGAAGCAAGCTCCCTACAGCTCAGGGAGCCTCACTTAAGACTCGATCCCAGGACCCTGGGATCATGACCTGAGCTGAAATCAAGAGTCGGACGCTCAACCAACCGAGCCACCCAGGTGCCCCAGGAAGATCGTTTCGTAAAGCTTAGCTGCCCTGTAGAATCTGAAACCACTCAAATGAACTGGCTTTGACGCTCATTGACCAACTGACCTTGGACAAGGCACTTTGCCTGGAGGCCTCTGTAAAATGGAAGGACAGAAACCCATCTCGTGGTGCTGCTGTGAAAACCAGTGAGATGACAGCTGTCCCCTGTCTGGCCGTCACAGTAACAATAGCAAATAAGCTCTTACTAAATGCCTCAGAGGGATAACTCACTTAGCCTCACACTGGATCTTAAGCTGCCGGTCCTAGAGTTACTCCCATTTTACAGAAGAGTAAACTGAGGTTGATAGAGATAGAAGAGTCTGACACCTGGGTCACACAGTCTGGGATTTGGACCCCTGCTGGCCGGCTCAGCAACCCAGGATATTTGTCTTAAAACTTCAACTTTTACTAATTTTAGATTTCACAGAAAATTTACAAAAATATTACAGAGTTCCCATATCTCCCTTACCCGGTTTCTGCTACTCTTACATAATTTTGGTATGTGTTTGTTTATTTTAAATTATTATTATTATTTTTAGAGAGACATAATGTGTATGTGCGTGCAGGGGAGGGGAGGAGCAGAGGGAGAGAGAGAGAGAGAGAGAGAGAGAGAGAGAGAGAATCTTAAGCAGGCTCCATGCCCAGCCTAGAGCTGACGTGGGGCTTGATCTCACAACCCTGAGATGATGATCTGAGCCAAAATCAAGAGTTGGATGCTCGGCAGCCCTAGTGGCTCAGTGGTTTAGCTCCGCCTTCAGCCCAGGGTGTGATCCTGGAGACCCAGGATCGAGTCCCGGGTCAGGCTCCTTGCATGGAGCCTGCTTCTCCCTCTGCCTGTGTCTCTGCCCCTCTCTGTGTGTGTCTCTCATGAATAAAAAAAAAAAAAAGAGTTGGATGCTTAACTAGCTGAGCCACCCAGGTGCCACAATATGTTTATTAAAACCAGGAAGTTGGGTGCCTGAGTGGGTCAGTCAGTTAAGTTTATGCCTTTGGCTCAGGTCAGGATCTCAGTGTCTTTGGATTGAGCCTTGAGTCCAGCTCCCTGCTCAGTGGGGAGTCTGCATCTCACCCTGCCCCTCCCCCAACTCATTTTCTCTCTCTCTCTCTCTCTCTCAAATAAATAAATAAAATCTTAAAAAAAACACAGGAAGTCATTAACATTGGTATAATATACTATTAACTAAACTCTAGAATCCGCTGGAATGTCAGCAGTTTTTCCGCTTGCTTATTTCATTATTTAGCATTTGGCTGCCCTTCTTAGTCACCTCCAACCTGCCAGTTGCTGTCTTTCCTTACCTCTCATGATCTGACATTTTTTCAGTACTGAGCAGTTATTTTGTAGGGTAGCCCTCATTTGGGGTCTGTCGGGTATTTTCTCCTGATTGGAATGAAGTTACGTGCTTTGCTGGCAAGACTATCAGAGCTGCGGATGTTGTGTCCTGCCTGGTGCCTGGTATCCGAGCGCACGATGCTGACGCAGCTTATTGCTGTTACTGGTGGTGTTGACCTTCACTGCGTGGTTACAGTGGGGCCTGCTGGGTTTCTCCACCATAGGATTTTTCTTCTTCCTTTTGCGGTTAATAAATACCTTGGGGGGAGGGCTGCTGGGGTGGCTCAGTCAGTTAAGCATCCAACTCTTGGTTTCAGCTCAGGCCATGATCTCGGGGTCATGAGATTGAGCCCTGCGTGAGGCTCCAAGTTTAGTGTGGAGCCTGCTTAAGATTCTCTCTCCCTCTCCCTCTGCCCCTCCCACTCATGCCTCTCTCTCTCTCTCAAATAAATAAATAAATCATAAAAAATAAATATAAATAAATAAATAAATAAATTGAGGGAGGCTCCTTAAGACCATGCAAATTATGTTTCTCTTAAAACTTTAACCCATTGATTTTAGCATCCGTCTAAAGATCCATCCAAGGTGGATCTTGCCTGAAATAATTATTAGCGTGGTGTTTGCCTAATTATGATTTTGTGACTTTCTAATTCCTCCTCTCCATCTAATGGAAATTTTACTCTAAGGAAAGCTATCGCTTCCCGCCTCCATCCATCCATCCATCCATCCATCCATTTATTTATTTATGTATTTCAGAATAGACTTACAAATATCTATTTTGATATAGGTTAAATCATTATCATTATTTATTTTGTGGTTCAAGTTGTCCCAGATTTGGTCTTTTGGAATTCCTTCGGATCGGCTTCCGAGTTCTTTCCACAAACCCCCATCATTTCTTGAGCACTCCCCCACTTTCTGGCACCACATGTCACTCCAGGCTTATTTCGCATATTTCCTTCCCCAATCGTTGGAATCAACTGCTTCTCCGAGGAGCCCGGGTTTCTTTCGTCACAGAACAGGTATCTAGAAACTAAGATCTGAGCACTAGGTGTGCTCGTGGCTACTGAGGTATCACAGCTTCCAGGCCCTTCACAAACAAACCTAGGCAACGTGTGTGTGTATTACACAGACACATCTCAATTTCCATTTCTATCTGTACATATATAATCGCACTTACCGTGAGATCATACTGACACCTGTGATTCTAGTCCGACATCACGGGCTTATTCTAGCCCTCTTCTTTCCTTATTTATTTATTTATTTATCTCTTATTAGCCTTCTTTCTCCAGCATTTTGAAACTTATCTCCCACTTTTACAGTATACTTAGGTATTTGTTCAACGCGAGTAGAGGCATAAAGCAGTCTCAGAATTGTTTGCCTGGGTCCCTGTGAGAACACTTACTAGGTGACAAGTATGTGCAGTCCTTTTCCTCTGTAGTTTTTTTTAAAGTTTTTTTTAATTTTTTTAATTTTTTTTATTACCGAGGTATAAGTTAACATCCAATGTTACGTTAGTTTCAGGTGTACAACAGAGCGACTCGACAATTCTATTCAGTACTGGATCTGTCACCATGCAACGTTAGCATGGTATGCTTGACTATATTCCGTAGGCTGTCCTTTTTTCCATCTCTATGACTTATTATATGACTGGAAATTTGTACCTTTTTTGCTATAGTTTTATAGTGTCCAGTCGAGACCTAGTCCGTGGTTAACCCCTCTTCAGTGTGGTTGTTCTATTTACTTTTTAAATATAGTGACATTGGGACACGTGGGTGGCTCAGTGGTTGAGAGTCTGCCTTTGGCTCAGGTCATGATCCCGGGGTCCTGCGATCGATTCTCGCATCAGGCTCCCCATGGGGAGTCTGCTTCTCCCTCTGCCTGTGTCTCTGCCTCTCTCTCTGTGTCTCTCATGAATAAATAAATAAAATCTTAAAAGTAAATAAATATAGTGACCGCCATTGGTTAGAGTTTACATTCCACACTGGCTTCTCCCTTCATCCCAGGTGGTTGTAATCGTTAGTGTGATTTTAGGGGTGCATGAAGGAAATATGAAATGTGACTATAATTCTAAGAATCAGAATTACACACAAAAAAGATCATGTTTTCCCTTCTGGTCTTTTTCTGCTCCGTTCCTGTCTCCCTTTTCTACCCGTTCTCATCCACCCCATGTAAGTAACCCATGTCTTTCCTTTCTCCTGACTCCTTCCTGTATTTCTTTCATGCAGATGAGTAGGTACCTGGGTGCTCTTCCATGAAGAACATATGACCATAGACAAGTCTTGTGTGTTTTGCTTTTTTAATTTCACTGGACGTCCCAGATGTCATTCCACAGCACTTCCTAGAATGTGTCCTCTTTCTTTGGATAGCTCCCCTGTGCTCCACTGTCTGGATGTTACGTAGTCTATTGGGGTCCCTCTCTTGTGGATGGGCATTTTGATTGTTTCTGATATGCTGTGATTACAAACAGCAATGAACAATCCTGTGCCCACGCATTCTCCTGTTGCCGGAATAAGAACACGTGCTCTTGACATCAGACCATACCGTGTGGCAGGTTTAAAACCTTGAGTTGGGGGCGCCTGGGTGCCTTGGTTGGTTGAGCATCTGCCTTCAGCTCGTGTCATGATCTCAGGGTCCTGGGATGGAGCCCACATCGGGGCTCCCTGCTCAGTGGGGAACCTGCCCCTTCCTCCCACTTATGCTCTCCTGCTCTTTCTCTCTCAAATAAATAAAGTCTTATAAAAACAAACCTTGATTTGGTTGCTGGCATTTAAGAATTTTGAGCTATCACTGAAAAGTTTGGATCTATCTATCTATCTCTATCTATGTGTCTATGTTCCTGGAATATAAAAACCCATGTAATAGTGACTTCCTATAGAAGTAGACAGATTTAGGGGCACTGAGCCTGCTTCCTGCAAGACCGCTATCACGGGATTGGTGATGGTGGCCCCTTTAAGATAGGGAGGGGTGGACAGTTTGCTGCACACCCCAGAGCTCTCTGCTGCCTTACTCTTTCCAGCTGGCCTTTGTTCCTGTTTATATTACCTAGTAGGGTTCTCAACATCTGGGTTTATAACCCCTAAGTGGTATCATGTCTGTAAAATGTTTGGCACACCGGCTGCACGAGTAAATCAAGATATTAAGAATCATATCCACTCACCCATGGAATCCTAACCACACCGTTCCAAGTGCTTCTCTTGTATTTATTCCCCTAAGCCTCATCAAAACCCTTAGATACTATCATTATTCCACTTTACAGAGTTGGAAACTGAGGCTCAGAGAGGCGAAGTGACTTGTACAGGGAAGCTCAGCTTGCAGATGGCAAAGCTGAGGTCTAATGCGGGGAGCTCCGGAACCCGTGTCCCTAACCACTAACTTGTCCCTGAGCTGTTGGAGAGAGTCTGTGTCTGTATGTCCTTCCCTGCTCTGGCTCAGGCCTCACTGCCCGCCCTGGCTCTGTTCCTTTCTTGCAGGTGAGCCTGGCTCCATGACTGTCACCTGGACCACGTGGGTCCCCACGCGCTCCGAAGTGCAGTTCGGACTGCAGTTGACAGGCCCCCTGCCGCTCCGGGCTCAGGGCACCTTCAGCCCCTTCGTGGATGGGGGCGTCCTGCGGAGGAAGTTCTACATCCATCGAGTCACGCTGCGGGGGCTGCTGCCCGGGGTCCAGTACGGTGAGAGGGACCCCAGACCCAGGTGTTGAGGGGATGCAGGAAGAGGAGTGGGGTGTCAGCGGGAAGCCACCGCGGGCAGGGGGCTCAGGCCGGGCTGGGAACGGCTCTGCTCATCTGGAGCCTCTTGCATGAGACTCCGGGATGGAAATGGGAGGTGCTGGGGTCTGGGGTGTGGTGGACCGAAGAGCATGGGTCAGAACCCCTCAATCCTCACTTCCTCTCCCCACCAAGTGAAGATGGATTGTGGGGGCTGTGCAGAGGAGGCAGCCTGGGGGGCGCCTAGCTGACTGTGACCTCTCCCTTGCCCTCAGTTTACCGCTGTGGCAGTTCTCAGGGCTGGAGCCGTCGGTTCCGCTTTAGAGCCCTGAAGAACGGTCCCCACTGGAGCCCCCGTCTGGCTGTGTTTGGGGACCTGGGGGCCGACAACCCGAAGGCCTTACCCCGGCTGCGCAGGGACACCCAGCAGGGCATGTACGATGCTGTTCTCCATGTGGGTGAGGCATCGGCATGGGTGCACCCGGAGGTGGGGAGTGGGGCTTGGGGGGGAGGAGGCGATCCCGGGGCTCTCTAGGGCACTGTGCTGGGGTAAGTGTGGTTCTAAAGGGGACAGGTGACGAGGCCAGCCCTGGACGTGGTGTCTGTGGTTAACCAGACTGCCCAGGTTCAAATCCCAGCTCCAGCACGTAGAGCCGTGTGCCTTGGTTTTGTCCTCTGTGTTATTATGATGAGAGCTAAGGCTGTTCCAGAAATCACGGGACTGTCGTGATGACTACATAGGTGACATTGGCTGGCATGCTGTAAGTGCCACGTGCTCCTTGTCATTATCATTGCTGCTGTGGCTTCAGGGGAAAAGGACACACATGGGAGATGGAGATTGGGGCTGATTGGGTTCACAGCCACAGACTCTGGAAGCGACTCCCAGGGCCTGATTCCTGGATCTTTACTAACCAGCCATGTGATCTTGCATGAGCACTTAACCCTTCTGGGCCTCAGTTTCTCCATCTGAAGTGGAGCGATAATACCATCCACCTCACAGGGTGTTTTGAAGATTCAGGTGATCAAGTATGTAAAGCATTTGGAACTGTGCCTGGTACAAAACCAGTACCAGATCGTGTCAGCGCTGTCCTGGGAGGGGACAAGAGGGCGGGCAGAGATGGGGGCCAGTGTGATAGGAGCACAGGAGACCAGCGAGGTCTTGTAGGGTGCGGGGGAGGGAGGGTCTCAGGGGCCAGAGGTTCAGGAAACAGCTCCAAGTGCACATGTGGGTGGGTGTGAGGTAGGTATCAGAGAACCAGGATGGCTTGGGGCCAGGAGGTTGCACAGCTGAGCAACCAGGGCGAAGGGAGGGCCAGGTCTGGGTCCTCACTCTCTCCTCGGTCCCCCTGCCCCCCAGGAGACTTTGCCTATAACATGGATCAGGACAACGCTCGTGTTGGGGACAAGTTCATGCGGCTCATCGAACCTGTGGCCGCCAGCCTGCCATACATGACGTGCCCTGGGAATCACGAAGAACGCTAGTGAGGGCCCGGGGCTTCGGGGTGGGTGAGGGTCTGATGGATGCAAACAGACATGCCTCCCTTACTTAGCATCTTACCTTAGTATCTCACGCTGCAGCAGCGCCTTAGTGGTAACAAGAGGAGAGGAGAGGAGATGAGGGCTGGGCTGGGCGCCAGACCTGAACTGACAGTGGGGAGATAGGGGTGGGCTCTGGGACCCCAGACCCTCTCCCCACCCTTTTACTTCCTTTTATCCAGCAATTTCTCTAACTACAAGGCCCGCTTCACCATGCCAGGGAACACTGAAGGCCTGTGGTACAGGTAATCTGGGGGACTGGGGTTGGGGGGACTGGAGGGTGGGAGATGCCGAGGAGACCCCACCTCTGAATCATGCCTTTTGACTCCTCCAGCTGGGATCTGGGCCCTGCGCACATCATCTCCTTCTCCACCGAGGTATACTTCTTCCTCCACTACGGCCGCCACCTGGTAGAGAGACAGTTCCACTGGCTGGAGAGCGACCTCCAGGTAACCTGGGGGGAGGTCCCCCATCATCCCTTGACCAGCCTCCACCCTCTCCCCCCTCCCCCCACCCCTGCCCCTCACTCTGGGCCCTTCTCTCTAGAAAGCCAATAAGAACCGGGCAGCGCGGCCGTGGATCATTACCATGGGCCACCGGCCCATGTACTGTTCCAATGCTGACCTGGATGACTGTACGTGGCATGAAAGCAAGGTGAGGACCCCTCCCTGGGTCGGGGTGCTGAAAGCCAGGCGGGGGGCCGGCCTGCACCACCATTCACACCATTCACCTCCTTGCTCACCCTGTCCAGGTTCGCAAAGGCCTCCGTGGCAAGTTCTACGGCTTGGAGGATCTTTTCTACAAATACGGTGAGTGACCCGGGGGACTCCTGGCCCCAGGCCCCAGCCCCTTCCATCTCTCCAGGACCAAACGCCTTGACCCCAACTTGTTCTGTCTCAGGGGTCGACCTGCAGCTGTGGGCTCATGAGCACTCATACGAACGGCTGTGGCCCATTTACAACTACCAGGTGAGGCTCAGGAGGTCCGAGGGCCCCTCAGCTGGTGTAGGTGGATCCCTGGATCCCCCAAGTGTGGCCTGGTGTGACATGTGCCTCCCCCTTCTTCCCTTCTCCAGGTATTTAACGGCAGCCGAGAGACGCCCTACACCAACCCTCGAGGCCCTGTCCACATCATCACCGGGTCTGCTGTGAGCAGCATGGGGAAGGGTGCCTTTGGCTTCTTGCCTCTTCATTTTTACTGCCTCTAATACCAGCCCACGTGCCATGTGTTCCTATAGCTGCTGTCACCACCTCTCAACCTTAGAGCTTAGGTAGCCCTAGTAGCAGGGCCATTGTACAGATGTGGAAACAGAGGCTCAGGCAGTCAAATACTTGTTCAGTCCCAGGCTCACCAAGTGGCAGGGGTTAGGGGCGTGCCCAGGTGTACAGGATGGATCCAAAGACAGAGAGCTTCTTATTATCACTGCAACCTGAACTCCAGACCCGAGTCACCTTCCACCAAACTTCTCACTGACGACCGCTTTCTGTTCCCGGATCCCACACTCAGTTTAGTTCTTGTGTCTTCCGAGTCTTTCCTTGTCTTTCATCCTTCACATTTGGAAGACTCCTGGCCAGTTGTTTTGCAGAATGCCCCTTGGTCTGGGCTTGTCTGTCCTTTTGCTGAGATTCGGGTTATGCATTTTGCACAAGACAGTCACAGAAGTGATGTTGTGTTCTCCTCGGTGCATTGGGTGGGGGGTTCCTCCCATCCATGTGTCTCATTCCTGGAGGTGTTTCCCTGAATCGCCTGGTTAAGGAGGTGTCTGCTGGGTTCCTCCGCTGTAAAGTTGTATTTCCCTTTCGAATTAGTAAGTATCTTCAGGGAGATACTTTCCGGCCATGCAAATCTCCCGTCTCTCCTCAAACTTTCACCTACTGATTTTGGAATCCCCCAATGGGTCTTGCCAGCAACAATGATTACTGTGGTGTTCTAATGGGGAGTTGCTATTTCCCTCATTCCTCCTAGATTTATTCATTAGAATCCTCTCATGAGGAAGAGTCCCTTCCGTCCCATTTCTGTAGTTTGTTAGTGATTTATACCAGTGTGGACTCATGGGTGATTATTTTATCCTGGGGGTGATTATCTGATACTATTTATGCCACTGCTCACCTTGCCCCCGTTTGGGCCACTGGAACCTCCTGAGGTCAGGTCCTGTGTTTCTTTGTGTGGCCCTGTCATTTCGTGAGCACTTCCTTATTTTTTGGCCCAAGAGGGTGCTCCAACATCATCTTGTGTTTTCCCACCCTTCCCCTCTCCACCTTGGAGTCACTTGTTTCTGCAGGGAGAGAGAGCTTATTTTTTAATATGGTTCTTAAAGACTAGTAGGATCAAAGTAAGAAGCACTTGTGATAAAAATTCAAACAGTACAGAGGGGCAGGAGGTGAACCCCAGGCATTCACACCCCCTTCTTCATCCCTACTCTGGTGCTCTGTCTCTTGGATGGCATTTTAGAATGTTCTCTGCATGCACAATTGAGTAATTGTCTTGATAGAGATGTGTTACTATATTACCCACTTTTTAAAAACAACTTGGATCATGCTTCATGCCCTAGGGGTTCTCAACTTTGGTGCACATCATATGGGGAAGTTTTAAAACTGCAGCATCTGGGCCCCATTCCAGAACAAACACCGGAATCTCTGAGAACGGGGCCCTGGCATTGGCCCAGTGCAAAGCCACCACCTGGAGCAGGAAATAGAATGTTATCAGCACCAGATGGCTCCTCATACCCCTAGGTGATCGCTATTCTGAACGTTAATCAGCATAGATTAGTTTTTTCTTCAATTTTAAATTTTGAAATTATTTCAGACTTACAGAAAAGTTGCAAAAATACAAATAGTCTCAATATACCCTTTACCAATATTTCCCAAACGGGAACATCTAACCACATCTGTTTTTTTGTTTTTGTTTTTGTTTTCTTTTGAGAGAGAGAGGGCATGAGCAGGTGCTTGTGAGCAGGGAGGGGAGGGTCAGCGGGAGAGAGAATCCCAGGCAGGCTCCACGTCCAGCACGGAGTCGGACACAGGGCTCAATCCCATGACCCTGAAATCAAGACCTGCGCTGAAATCAGGAGTCTTAGGGCACCTAGTGGCTCAGTCAGTTAAGCATCTACCATCGGCTCAGGTCATGATCCTGGGGCCGGGGGATCAAGTCCCACATCCAGCTCCCCGCTCAGTGGGGAGCCTACTTCTCCATCTCCCTCTGCCGCTCCCCCTGCTTGTGCTCCCTCTCTATCAAATAAATAAATACAATTTAAAAGAAAAGTCATATGCTCAACCAACTGAGCCACCAGGCACCCCAACCACATCTGTTTTAATCTCTATTTGGTCTTATTTTATTTGTCGTAGCGATTATTATATTATTAATATTTTATAATGTTATATATAATTAATGATTATTAATATACTCTTTGTCCTGGAGAGATCATTTGGGACTATGCCAATACCTGGCTATTCCTCAAACTTTCACCATTAGTTTTACCATCGATTGATGATTCTTGCTTCCATTCATTATTATAATGATGGCTGCAGAATGGTGATTTCCTAAGGTCCCTCATGCTCTCTGCTCATGTCGCCTGGCATTCTGCTACACGGATGAACACCCGTCCTCCCCCAGGCACCGGTGACTTATAAAAAGCTTCCTTGGAGGGTCTACTGTGCCCCCACTGTTGAGACCTCTAGGTTTTGTCTCTGCTTCAAATTGTGTTTTCTCTTTTATTATGCATCTCGGCCACCTTTCCGTAACACCCTGCTTTGTGATGGCTATGCTAGAATTTAACTGACCGCCACTGATGGGCATTTGGGCACCTGCCAGCTCAGGGCTTTTACAGAAAATGCTGCAGTGGGCAGTGTTTTACAGCCGTGCACTTTTCTAAAAGTCAAAGACCCGGGGGTGCAAGAAGCCTGGCTGGGTGAAAACCCTCAGTCCTGAGCATTAGTGAGGTCAAGTCTTAGCAGACTTTGTCTTCCTTGGGGGCATCAGGGTCCCGGCCTGGGAGGTTGTTTCTGCTCCTTGCGGGGCCTTCACCCACCCCAGCCCTGGGTCTAAAGGCTTCTGTCTGGCAGGGCTGTGAGGAGCGGCTCACCCCCTTCTCCCTCTTCCCGCGGCCCTGGAGCGCCGTGCGGGTGAAAGAGTACGGGTACACGCGGCTACACATCCTCAACGGGACCCACGTCCACATCCAGCAGGTGTCGGATGACCAGGTCAGTGAGCCGTGGCCCAGTCACCTGCCTGAGTAACCAGGCCCAGCATGTTCTGGAGTCGGGTGGTTAAAAACATGGATTCCAGAGCTCGCAATCCTGGGTTCAAATCCTGCCTCCACTTCTTGCCAGCTGGCTGACCTCGAGCCACTTATTTCAACTATCTGAGCCACGGCTCTCCCATCTGTTAAAGGGGATGACAATATTTATATGAAGTGCTTAGAACAATCTCCAAAGTATGGTAAATTCCATAGGTGTCTATGAACCTGAAGCAGTGGGTGGTGGGAGCAGGTGAGAGGGAAACCAATATGTTGTGTGTGTAGCAGAAGCAGCTTTCAATGGACCCAAATCTTCATGGTTTACCTTTCATTATTTTTGCCATCGTGATTTTATTTTATTTTTGAAAGATTTATTTATTGGGATGCCTGAGTGGCTCAGCGGTTGAGCATCTGTCTTTGGCTCAGGGCATGATCCTGGGGTCCCGGGATTGAGTCCCGCATCGGGCTCCCCGCAGGGAGCCTGCTTCTCCCTCTGCCTGTGTCTCAGCCTCTCTGTGCCTCTCATGAGTAAAATAAGTAAAATCTTTAACAAAAAAGTTTTAAAAATTAAATTAAAATAAAGATTTATTTATTTATTTGAGAAGGGTGGGTGGAAGGACAGAGGGAGACAGAGAATCTCAAGCAGACTCTGAGCTGAACATGGAGCCCGATGCAGGGCTCGATCTTACACCCCTGAGATCACGACCTGAGCAGAAACCAAGAGTCGGACGCTTAACCGTCTGTGCCACCAGCACCCCTGCCATTGTAATTTTCAAATAGTAATAATTATGATTTCTTGAGCACCTGTTGTATATCAGATGCTGGCCTAGACGCTTTACATCTAGTAGCATTTTAATCACCACAGCAATCCCTTGGGATAGTTTTTCTTTCCATTTTGCAGGTGAGAGAACTGAGGCTCAGAGAGGGGAAGTAATTTTCCAAGGGTCACACAGCTGGAGGGTGGCAGAGCTGGGCTCTATCTCCAAAGACCACATTCTCTTTATTATAAATAACTACCCTTTATTGAACGGTGCACGTACCGGGGGTAGGCTTTAGGCTTACGTGTCGATCACATTCCGTTCTCCCCTGTGTATAGAATAAGGAAGTGAGGCTCAGGGTTGGGTAACATTCTTAGGGCCATGTAGAGAGCTGTTGCACTGGGATGTAAGTGAGGCTTGTCTGACTGTGGGGTTTGTGCTCATAACAGACTACACCTTACCCAGTCCTTGCCCAGGATCCCCTTTTAAAAAGCCCTCTACAAATAATCTCATTTAATTCCCACAACATCTATGAGGTAGGTACTGTTACTGTCATCTCCACTTTTCAGATGAGGGAAACTGAGGCTCAGAGAGGCCTAGCAATTCTTCCAAGGTCACACAGCCCATTCAAGGCAGGGCTGGGTGTGAATCCAGGTCCTTGGCCCCGGAGTCTGGACTTTGAGCTCTCACTACCTCCTTTGTTTTTGTCCCTTGCAGGATGGGAAGATTGTGGACGATGTCTGGGTGGTGAGACCCCTGCTTGGCCGGATGATGTACCTCTAGGTACAGGGGCAGCTCTCATCAGGAACCCCGGGCCTCGCTGCTTTGGCTGGACACTGCCCAGGCCCAGGTGGAGAGTCAGGGAAGGCCTTGACTCCCAGCCCTCCTGAGGGCCCATGTGGGGTGGCTGCAGCCCGGAGGCAGCCGGGGCGGCTCTCCCCTCCTGGAGAGGTGGGGGTACCCCCTGGCTGTGATGGGAGGGCAGGTATGCAGGCACAGAGCAAAGCAGGGCAGGTGTGGGGCGGCACAGCCCTGCTCTCCTGCATAGCACTGGCAGGGCGGGGCGCCCACGGGGCCTCGGGAATAAAGAGGCTTAGAGCTGTGCCTCCGTGGACTCTGCACTTCTGGGGGTGGCCCCCGGGCCGTCTCCTCTCCTGCCTGCAGGGGCGAAGGGCATCTCCTGCCCTAAGTCAGCAAGTGGGCACGGCTGTCATGACCCCAGTCTCCGGCAGGTGGCGTCGGGGGCCTTTCTCCTCCTAGACCCGCAGTCCGTGCTCCTGCCGCCCAAGGAGTGCTCACAGTGTCGCCCTGTGCCTCAGTTTCCCAGCCCAGCACCAATTTATCCTGGAGGGGAGAAATGTTAACACTCCTGCCTCCAAGCTGGGGGTGCCTGCCAGGCTTAGGATCTCACAGACCTGCTGTTTCCCTCTCCCTTTCCCTTCCTTTTCTCCCCCCTCTCTTGACCCCCTCCCTTGCATGGGTTCAACCACTATTTATTGGGCATCTACCACGTGCCAGGCCCTGGTCTCAGTCCTGGGAGACAGCTATGAACAAGCCAGAGATCTCTGCCTTCGCAGAGCTGATATTCTAACCAGGGGGTCAGATCGCCAGCACAATAAAAAAGAAAAATATATAAAGCAGGGTAAATATTGGTAAGCACTCTGAAAAAGCAAGGAAGGAAGGGGCATGAGGGGGGACGGTTGCAGTTTTTGCAAGGATAACCAGGGAGGCCTCACTGGGAGGATGATGTTTGATCTGAAGGAGTCTGAGGGAGAAGCGATAGGGGCAGAGTGTGTTCCAGGCAGGGAGCAGCTGGTGCAAAGGCCCTGAGACAGAAACACGCCCGCCCTGCCAGGGTGATAGTGTGGAGGCCTGTGAAGCCCGGGCCAAGTGAGTGCGGGAGATGGGGACAGGGAGGTGAGTGGGAAAGATCATGTGGGGCCTTACAGGGCCCAGGGGGACTTTGTCCTTTATCCACAGAAGGGCTCCGAGCTGGCACATCTGAGTGCAGGAGTCCTAGGCCGAGCTGGACGCGGGCCCCAGGGCTGAGGGCTTCCCCGGGCAGCGGGTGGGCTCCCAGTTCTGCAAGCCGACCTCACATTATTGCTGCATGAGCTGCACAGGCTCAGCTTCCTCACATGGACAACCCCCGCCACCCCTCACTGTGCCCAAGACACGCCAGCTTCCTGCGGTTTCTTGAATTGCACAGAGCTCTTTCTCACCCTGGGCATGCCCTCTCCCTGGCTCATCCTGGGCTGGCATCTTCTCAGCCCGAGGCCTCAGCCTCCCCTGACAGCCCCAGCGAAGAGAGCTGCGATCACCTGCTTTACTTCATTTCTGGCTCTCAGCTGCCTGGAATCCTCTTACTGATTTAGGCTTGTTCTGGGTCAGTCTGGCCCCCTGGGGCCTAGAGTCTGTGGGGGTGGAGACCAGGGCCATCTTGTTCATTTGTGGGTCTATCACCTCCCCCACCCACCCCTCCCAGATCCTCTTCTCAGGCTGAGTGGTGCCCACCCGGGGCCAGCAGTGTCTGGGGAGCAGGGGGTGTCTGTCTCCCCCACTGGCTGTCAGTCCCCAGAGAGTGGGGCCCAGAGCTCACCCCAGCACAGCCCAGCGCAAGAGAGGTGCTTCATAAACATTAATGGTGCCACATGCCAGGCTCTGGCCGGACACTGCCAGGGACACGCCGGGGACAGTGATGAATCGGCCCCAGCCAGGCCCTGTAGGAGTTCATGGGCGAGCAGAGAAACGCGGTTACCCAACTCGGGTGACACGCAATGAGGGAACGCCACGGAGGGATGCGCCCAGCCTGCGAGGTCGCCAGCTGCAGAGTCACGCATTGCACGCTGCAGCCAAAGCCTGAGCTGGCGCCCGTGTGGGCCTGGCCGCGTCCATCCCAGGCCAGAGGGGTTGGTGGGGGGAGGAGGCTGTGACCATGAGAGCAAAGGCCTGACACTGGGGCTAGACAGAAACTGGGTTTGGATCTCGGCTCTGCGACTTCCCGTGGGATGTGGAGTCACCAGCCCGCTCTGAATGTCAGTTTCATCATCTGTCACAAAAGAATGATCGTACTTTATGGGATCACCTTGGCATTAAATGAGCCCGAAAGCCTTGATGTTGTCCATGACTCTTCTTTTTCTCATGTCCCGCATTTAATTAGCCAGCCAATTCTGTTGACTTGGTCCTTAAAGTGCATCTAGAGGGACACCTGGGTGGCTCAGCAGTTGAATGTCTGCCTTTGGCTCAGGGTGTGATCCCAGGGGTCCTGGGATCGAGTTCTGCATCAGGGTCCCCAAAGGGGGTCTGCTTCTCCCTCTGCCTATGTCTCTGCCTCTCTCTCTCTCTGTCTCTCATGAATAAATACATAAATAAAAGCTTAAAAAAAATAAGTAAAGTCCATCTAGAATCTGTCCCCTTCTCCCACCCTGGTCCTATCCACCTGTCCCTTGCCTCCTACCTGGTCTCCCCTCTTCTCCCATCCCTAGCCCCCATAGTCTGCTCTCCACTTGCAGCCGAAGGGACCCGTAGGTACCTGTGTCAGGTCATGTCCTTCCTCTGCCTGAGCCCTCCTGTGGCTGCATCTCACTTGGGATAAAAGCCAGAGTCTTCCCTGTGGCCCAAGCCACACGATCTGCCCCCATCACCTCTCTGTCCTCACCTCCCACTACTTGTCCCTGCCCACTCTGCTCCAGCCATGCTGGCCTCAACTGTATCAGATGACCCTCCTCTGTCTGCACTGGCTGTTCCCTCTGCCTGGGACACTGCCCCTGGGCACCCCCATGGCTCTCTCCCTCCCTTCCTTCAAGTCTGTGGTGAGGCCTCTCCCCTGACCACCTTGCTTAAATTAAAATAGCATCCCACCGCCTACCTCCCATCACCTTTCCATTCCAATCACTTCCACATTGTGGCCTACTATGGAGATATATCTTTATTTTTTAAAGATTTTATTTATGTATTTGAGAGAGGGCACAAGCAGGGGGAGGGAGAAGCAGGCTCCCCGCCCAGCAGGGAGCCCCACACGGGGCTCAGTCTCAGGACCCTGGGATTACGACCCCAGCTGAAGGGCAAACACTTAACCAACTGAACCACCCAGGTGCCCCTGGAGATAATATCTTTAATGATTTATTCTTTAGCTCCTCCACCAGAAAGTGAGCTCTTGGGGCGCGGGGGTTTCTGAGATTTCTCCCAGTTCTGTTTATCCCTGTGATTCTAGTACCCAAAACATAGTAGTTGCTCAATAAAAACTGGTTGAGTGAATGAGGAGAGGCAGGAGAAACCCAGATAAAATGTTTAAAGCAGCACTGGCATCGAAGGAGCAGGTGATCAATAGCAGGAATGACGGTAATTTGGGTGAATCAGATAAAGGCCCAGCCCTTGGGGCTCCCACTGCTGGGCATGCAGGAGACAGGCATGTCTCGGTGATTGCAACACCCATGATGTGTGACAAGCACAGGAAGTGACAGGTTGCAGGAGTGAAGACCCAGCAGCATCTGGGAGGCAAAGCCGAGCAAGGTGTTTTGTTTTGTTTTTAAGATTTTATTTATTTATTTATTTATTCATGAGAGACACAGAAAGAGAGAGACAGACACAGAGACACAGGCAAGCCCCATGCAGGGAGCCAGATGTGGGACTCGATCCCAGGACTCCAGGATCACACCCTGGGCTGAAGGCAGGAGCCAAACCGCTGAGCCACCCAGAGATTCCCACCCCCCCAACCTGAGCAAGGCTTTTGGAGGCTACACAAGATGCCTGCCTAGCAGGCTGGGAGTGACTGCTCCCGGGAGGGGCAACAGGGTCCCAGGGACAGTCTGTGAGGTGCCTTGGGGTCTATGGAGAGACAAGAGGGGAGGAGCTGTGGGTCTCAGGATTTATTCATTAACAAATATTTATTTACTGAAGTCTTTCATTGCTCACATTGGCCAGAAATAGGTTTTTTGTTGTTGATTACAGTTAAGAACCAGGGAAGAACAATGCACCCACCGTGATCCAGTTGGAGATACTGTGGTGGCTGAGATGATATTTTGGCCCTTGTGAGGCTTACATTCTACTGGGGGAAGTAGAGAAGAAACTGTGAAGACAAAAATACTATTGCCTGAGAATTCTTGATGGTGATCAGCACTGTGGAGAAAATACAGCGAGGATTAGAGCATGGGAAGGCAAAGGGTGATGTCAGTATGGTGCCCAGGAAAGGCCTCTCTGAGGAGGTGACGTTGAAGCCAAAGGACAGGGAGCTGGTCAAAGCAAAGACCTATATGAAGGATCCAGGTAGAGAGATCAGCAGGTGCAAAGGCCCTGAGGCAGGACCAAGGGTGTGTGTGTTTGAGAAACAGCCATGAGGCCAGGGTGACTGGTGTGGAGTGAGTAGAGTTGCCAGATAAAATACAGGATGCCCTAAATTTGAATTTCAGAAATAGACATAAATGTTTAGTCTATATATTTAGTCCCAAATATTGTGTGGGGACACCCTTATACTAAAAAAAAATGACTTGAGGTTTATCTGAAATCCAAAACTAGCTGGGCATCCTGTAATTTTATTGGCTAAATTTTCATTGTAACCATAGGAATGAGCAAGAAAGGATGTGGAGGAGAAGAGGCCATAGAAAGGACAAAAAGTTCCTCTAGGCATCCCCGCACACATGCCTGAGGAGACAGGACATTCTTTGCATTCTTTGGGGACCTCTGTTACTTGGTGTCCCTACTCCCTGGGCGAAGGTCCTTCCTCTCAGCCCTCTACCCCATCCTCCGTCCAGATCTTTGCTGCTGCTTTCCAGAAAAAAAAAAAAAAAAAAAAGATAACATCGTTATTTTATTTCAGGGGAGAAAGTAACACATTCATTATTAAAAAAAAAAATCAGGGGCACCTGGCTGACTCAGTTGGTGGAGCATGCAACCCTTGATCTCAGGGTCATGGGTGGCCCCATGCTGGGTGTAGAGATTACTTAAAAATAAATTCTCTTTAAAAAAAAAGAAATTCAGGGGTGCCTGTGGGGGGGCAGTCACTTAAGTGTCTGGGTCTTGGTTTCACCTCAGGTCATGATCTCAGAGTTGTGAGATCGAGCCAAACACGGGCTCTGCGCTGAGCGTGGAGCCTGCTTAAGATTCTCTCTCCCTCTCCTGCCCTTCCCTCTGATCAAGCTCACTCTTTCTCTAAAATAAATAAATAAATAAATAAATAAATAAATAAATAAATAAGTCTTTTTTAGAATGAGGTAGTAGTTGTAAAGTGCTTAGCACAGGACCTGCTACAGAGAAAATCTTCAGTAAATGTTTGCAGTTGTCATTATCAACATGCTTGGCACACAGATGGCATTCAATGAATATATTTATTGAATGAATCTGAGCAGTCTTTTTTTTCTTTTCTTAAAAAAGATTTTTTTTTATTTGAGAGAGAGCAGGGGGAGGGGCAGAGGCAAAGGAGAGAGAATCTCAAGCAGACTCCCCGCTGAGCGATGAGCCCAATGCAGGGCTTGATCTCAAGATCTTGAGATCATGACTTGAGCTGCAACCGAGAGTCAAATGCTCAACTGGCCGAGCCACCCAGGCGCCCTGAATTTGAGCAGTCTTCAAGAGCATCAGCTTTGAAGTCAGACCTCCCGGTTAAAATTCCGGTAAAGCTGCTTACACGTGGGGGGACTTTGTTCCACTTCCCACTTCCTCCCATGCCTCAGTTTCCTCTTCTGTGAAATAGGGATCCCATCTTACAAAGAAGTGGAAAGGATTAGATAAGTTCACGTAGCCAAAGTGTTTAGAGAGACTCTGGTAGAGCAAGCAGTGAAAAAAAATCGGAAGCAATCTAAATATGCAACAATAGGGAAATCGTGAAGTATGGTATGATACATCAATAATTAAAAAAAATTATTTTTCAAAAATCTTACTAGAATACCACTAACGATGAATACAGTTGATCCTTGAACAGCGTGGGGGTTCAGGGTGCCCATGCCCGCACAGTCAAAAACCCAAGTAATAACTTGACTCCCCCTAAACTTAACTACTAATAGCCTTGTGTGACCAGAAGTCTAACCAATAACATAGTCAATTAATGCATATTTTGTATGTTATATGTATCATATGCTATATTCTTACAATAAAGTAAGCTGGAGAAAAGAAAATGTTATTAAGAAAACCATGGAGAAGAGAAAATACATTTATAGTGCTGTACTGAATTTACTGAAAAAATCTCCTTATTAGGAAACTGATGCAGGTCAAACCTGTGTTGTTCAAGGGTCACCTATACATTCACATGCACACCTTTGTCTCTCTTTTTTTCCTTCAGGAACAATTCTTAGGGACGCCTGGGTGGCTCAGTCAGTTAAGTGGTTAAACGTCAAACTTTAGTTCAGGTCATGATCTCAGGGTCCTGGGATCAAGCCCTGCATCAGGCTCTGAGCTCAGTGGGGAGTCTGCTTCTCCTTTCTCTGCACCATCCCTGCTCCTGCTTTCTCTCTCTCTCAAATAAATAAATAAAAATCTTAAAAAAAATTCCTAGAAGTGGAATCAATGGATATTACCAAAAATCTGCCCCAGATTGTAGATCGTAGTCCTATATATGGGGTATGAGAGTGGCTATTATCCTGTATTCTCATCAGCACTGATTATAATATTAAAAAATGTTTTTCTGGTGCACCTACATGGAGCAGTTAAGCCTCCAATTCTTGGTTTTGGTTCAGGTTGTGATCTCAGGGTCATGAGATCAAGCCCTGCACTGGGCTCAGGGAGACATTCTCTCTCTCCCTCTGCTCCTCCCACTCATGCTCTCTCTCTTTCTTTCCCAAATAAGTAAGTAAATCTTTAAAAATATTTTTTCCAGAGAGACCAAAAAAAATAAAAAGCATCTGTTTAATATCTCTTTCATTAATTTCTTATTTGCCAGTTTCATTTTTTCTTATCCACTGTCTGTACTTGAAATTTCTGTTCATGTCCTTTGCCTGTTTTTCTGTTGTATGTTCACTTTTCTTATTGATTTATAAATGCTCTTTACAGGGATCCCTGGGTGGCGCAGCGGTTTAGCGCCTGCCTTTGGCCCAGGGTGCGATCCTGGAGACCCGGGATGGAATCCCACATCGGGCTCCCGGTGCATGGAGCCTGCTTCTCCCTCTGCCTGTGTCTCTGCCTC